GCCAGCCGCTCTGCTGTCCGCCCGCACACGCAGGTCCCCCCGCAACTGCTCTGCTGTCCACCTGCGCTTGCTGGTTGTCCTTGCAAACCGCTCTGCTAATAGCTCAGCACCAGGCTTCCCACAGTGATTTCAGCTCTCCAGCAAGTTCAGCTCATAATAGAGGAGCCTCAGTACCAGTGCTCCACTGGCCCACAGTGAAGTCAATGCCACAGCTCACAACTAGACTCCTCATGGAATCCAAATTAGTTCTGATATTCCACAGTGAAGGCAGGAAGGAGACAGTGGAACTGGTGCTGTTTAGGCCCTCAGACAGGGCCCCACCACCAGGCATAGAGACCTGTCCCCAACTTTTCTCAATTTAGCTGGCTTTGGAACCCATGCCCCTTGTGTAGCGAGTGCTACTTAGTTTATGGTGAATCCCTCTGTCATAAACAGTTCCACCATTCCATTGTCCTTGATTCGCATAATCAGGGTAACAACATTTTTATCCCCCCTGCCTCAATAACAGAGAGACTGGGGATCCCACAGTGGCCAAAGTGACCATTTGGGCTGCTGTGAGCACATACTAGACGGGATGGGTGTGTCTATGCAAATTGGGATCAGCCCCTGCAGTCCCTTTGCACCACTCACCGCAGTTCACCACCAGGGCTATGTCTACACTCGCGGCTTCTTGCACAAGTATGGCCGTTCTTGCGCAAAAATCCGCAGAGCGTCTACACTGCCCGCCTGCTCTTGCGCAAGGAAATTTGCAGTACGGCGTGGTAAGAGGGGGCTCCTTGCGCAAGAGCTATGCTCTTTTTTGACGGGTGTAAGCCCTCTTGCGCAGGAGCTCTTGTGCAAGAGGGCAGTGTGGACGCTCGGCAGGGATTTCTTGCGCAAGAAAGCCCTATGGCTAAAATGGCCGTCGCAGCTTTCTTGCGCAAGCGAGCGTCCACACTGCCATGGGAGCTCTTGCATAAAAGCACAGCTCGCACATGGCAGTGTGGACGTGTTCTTGCACAAGACTTCTTGCACCACGAGTGTAGACATAGCCCACATGTCAGGGGACAGGTTACCCTGACCCCGCTTACACATATGCAAATATATGGCTAAATGCACAATTACCTGATTTGCACGAGCATGGGCAGAAATTACATCAGAAAATTAAGCACACTGGTCAATGCACATTTTTGCACTTGACTAATTCTGAAACGCAGATCCTTAACCTTCCCAGACCCGAGTTTCCCCATCGACACAGAAATTCCCTGCCTCACCTGAACAATGTGACGCTTAATTCATTACGCCATGGAACGTGCGTTGCGCTCCGCAGCTGGAAAGCACTAAAAAAGTGCAAACTAATCATCATCAGCCGCGTTGCTGTTCCTGACGTAAGCTCAGCAGCCACCCAGGAACAAACATGCTCAACAATGAGGCAAGGAGGGCAGCTAGACGGGATGGGTGTTCTTCTGACAGCGTGACGTCTGATTTCGGCGGCTGAGAGCGGGGCCACACGCCAGCGGTGGGGAGGAACGCCAGCGCACGTCTGGCGCGATCCCGGTGGGAGAGATCGCTCGTCCTGAGCTCTGAGCTGTGGGGTCAATGTGAGACCAGATGCGAGAGGGAGTCTCTGGCATTGGCCTGACTCCTGTTCGTGAGAGAGACCAGGGTTCAATTTGACACCGGGCTCTTCTTCAGGTTGCATTTATGGACAGAGCTGTCCCTAGGGATGTGTGGGGCCTGGGGCAACCTCCCCCCAATGGTCCAGGTGTGGGGCCCGGGGCAAACCCCTACTGCAGGCCGTATCCCACCCGATGCGAGAGGGAGTCTCTGGCATTGGCCTGACTCCTGTTCGTGAGAGAGACCAGGGTTCAATTTGACACCGGGCTCTTCTTCAGGTTGCATTTATGGACAGAGCTGTCCCTAGGGATGTGTGGGGCCTGGGGCAACCTCCCCCCAATGGTCCAGGTGTGGGGCCCGGGGCAAACCCCTACTGCAGGCCGTATCCCACCCTGCCTCACCCCCGTTCTTCTCCCTTAGCTCCCATTGGCTG